GTATCGGACACATGTTTGGAGGGTGGCTCCGGACAACTTAATTCGTTTACATATTAATAATAAACAACTTTCTTTATATAAATATTAATAAATTTAATATATTACACAAACCTACAATAGTAAAAAAAGAGTTAAAATCATGCTTAAACTATGTGTCCCGGGCTACCCTCCAATTTTGAAACATGCCTTTTTTCTAACATTTTTTCTTTTATGTTTTGTATATTATTAAGATACATAATAATTATTTTTTTGTTTCTAATTCGATAGAGGAATGTTTGAACTTTTAAAAAAAGTCTTTTGACACTTTGTTTTCTTTTAGCACATATGTAAAATCTATATTTTTCTTAAGTGTCCGGGGCTACCCGACTCTCCCTTATCTTTAAAAAAAAAAAGAAAGATTAAATATTATTAAAATTATTTCTTTATTTAAAAATATAATTACACTACACATATTATTGGAAGCAAGCATTAAGAAAGAAATTTACTTTCCTGCTAGTTTATGCATTATAATAATTATTTATTAAGAATGGATGAAGGTCTTTCATTTGTAGTTCGGTTGTCATCGCTGGAGATATTGATGCATACACGTCTTTAATAGTGGAGCCAGCGTAAGTAAGTTCATGGCCGACGACACTGGTTTTGAAGTGAAGGGACACAATCGTTAATTTCTAAAAAAAGTACTCTATATCTAGAATTTTCTAAAAAAAAAAAAACTTCTTTGTGCGAGGTGAAGGGGGGGAATGTGAGTGTGTGAGGGAAGGGGGGGGAAAGAGGCTAGTGTACCCTTGTCCCCCGATGTCGTTTACCCTGAAGTTTCAAGTGGGAAGTGGATGCCATACGGGTTTTCGCCGAAAATATTTATAACACATAGAAACAAATCTAAATTGCTAATTGAAATCATTTGATTTATTATTTTTTGTTTTTCTTTTTTTTTTTTAAAAAAAAGTTGTCTACCGTTCGCAAAGTCATTGTAGTTTTATGAATATTAGTCATTCTACAGTCACAACAGTTTTTATTAAACCGTACTATGTTAAAATCCATTGACTGATTATAAGAGCTACTTTCGTTAAACAAAACGTCTCTGTTTTGTTTTCTGCCATAAATACGAACAAGTTTGTTAAGCAGTTATGTAAACGATGGTTTGTTGTTACCTGTTTTCTATTTCAGTTTAAAATGAGGAGGAGGTCAAGAAAAGTTGACTTCAACAATGTTACTTTTTAAAAGAATTTAAATTACTTAAAAAAAAAAAAAAGAATATTTTCTTCCATTTATTTTTTTGATGGGATGGGTGGGGGATGGGTAGGATAATGGGAGTAGGAGGGGTAATATATACTTTCATATTTTTACTAGTTTAAAGGCTAAACAGTTTTAAATTAATAAATTTAAATAAGTTAATAAAGGTTTCTTAGGAAACGCTTATATGCTGATATAAAATTTAAAAAATACCGTAGTCCCGGACCACCAACAATTATAACGATGGGCGGGACTGTTGACTCCTGGCAAAATCAGGGACTCTTAGACTCCGAACTCCAGACTCTGACTTTGCATCCCTGGCCCTGATTAGAAATATTTCGCTTTCTTCTTGCTATCAATTTGCCATACTTCATTATTATTTAGTCGGATAAATTCTCTAAAGAAACTCAAATTAAAACAAATTATGTCAACAATTTAAATGTTTCGGATAGTTTTAGTGGTACTGTAGCACTGTGGAACGGAGATAAAGAAGGCCCGGTGGTAGTAACCGGAAAAATAGTAAATCCGAGTAAAATATTGTTTTGAATTAAAAGTAAATGCGAAAGGAAAAGAAAAACTTTTGCACCAAAAACATTGTCTAAATTAAAAAATAGAAAACATGCAGATATTTCAACAATTCAGGTAACCTTTTTGTTTTTTTCTTTTTTCATATATATTGCCTTTTTTTTACACTGATTTGTTTAAGCGATTACTGAAGATAAATTTATCTTCGTTATGAAATATAAGTTATTAAACATTAACGTTAACAAGTAGCTAACAAGGAGGTAACTCACATACGCGACACGTGGAAAAGTATTATTCAAGAGGCAAAAGTTTTTGCAAAAGTTATAAGAATACAAGCTCAATTTCCTTCAAAAAGAAATTCTTTTACTTAACCAGATCAAGATTTCAAAACTTCTGTTGTTTACCCAGTGTTGGATTTTATAATTAATGATTTGAGCACACGATTTAAAGAATCCAATGCAATATGTGATTTATTCTCACGCATTTTGAATTTGTAGAAATATGAGGATGTGGACCTAAATTTAAAAGCGGCCAAACTTTTTTTTTTATTTTATTTTTTTATTTTTTTTTTTTATTTTTACATTTGTTGGTCGTATTACAACTATATATTGCCAAAAAAAAATAAAATAAAAATAATGATAATAATAGTAAACTTTCACAAATATAAAAATAAGGTATCTGAAAGAAGATCAAAGGATCTTGTCAGAACCTTAAATAAGTTCAAACAAGCATTAACAGTATCAAATTTTTACAAATTTCATATATATATATAATCCAAATATATATTTTTTAATTCAAAGAGAGATCACGCAGATCTACTCACTAATATTTTATATAAACGTATACGTGAAGTAAAGAATATAAAATCAACAAAATAAGTAAGAATAAACTTTTTACAAATATAAATAAGAAAAGGCAAAGTTATTAATTTATATTATTAATAATAACATAATACGTCTTCTAATGAAAAAATTAGGGTTTTTAATTTACTTTTAAAAAAACGAAAAGTAATGGGTAGTTCGAAATCAAAATTGGGCAAAACAATTTTATTCCAAAGGTGTGGTGCCCGATAGACAACACAAAATTGATTAAAGTTCGTTTGACAGAAAGGTTCATTTAAAAAATCAGTATTTCTCAAATTGTATTTGTTGATGGGTTTCGGAGTAAAAATATCTTTGAAGACAGATTGAGACAAGTCATTTTTCCACATGTATACAAAGCATAAAACATTGTATATATTTAGCTCGTATATATTTAAAATTCTCATTTCAATAAAATAATGTTTTGCGTGAGAAAAGCGATTTGCAAAGCAGATTAAACGGATAGCATGTTTCTGACGGCGATAAAGACGTTGCAACTTACTTTTTTCTGTACTACCCCAGGCGATATTAGCATTATTTAAATAACTGTGTATAAATGAATAATAAAGTTTGATTAAAATTTTCTTATTGAGGTAGATTCGTGCTTTATATAAAACTCCTATGTTTTTTGAAATTTTAGTGCTTATGTAGTCGATACGATGATTCCAAGTGATGTTTTCATCAAGGTAAACACCTAAAAATTTTGTTACGGAATCCCTTTTTATTTCATTTTGATCAATAAAAATTTTAGGTAAGTTTAATGGCAAATATCGTTTTTTGGAAAGCGAATGGAATAAGGTCCACTTTGTTTTATTAGAATTTAGAACTTGTGAATGCATAAAAGAAAGATCTGTCAGAAGACTTAATTAGTGAAATGCTTGAAAGTATTTACAAAACAGTTTTTGGTATTGAAAGCTCTCCTCTTTGTCTATTTATGACAAACAGCTTTAAGGCATTTTTAACAACATCTCTCTGGCAGTTTAACTGTTTTGTACATTTCCAGTAACTGTATCATCAGCAGAAAGATCATTTAGCAAACTGGCAAATAAATTGAAATCATGGCAAAGAAGCACAACCTGTCAAGATCGCTTAAACCATCTTGCCATATTAGCAGAGGCGTATTTAGAGATTTGGCGCCCAGGGTCAAAATAATTTTTACCGCCCCGTACTTCCCTTTTTAATATAAATCAATAGTATAGGTTTTATAAAAAAAATCATAGTTTATAATATCAGGTTTAACAGCTGTTCTGTCAAACACTTTTAACAGTCATGTGATAGGGACAAACGCATAGTTCGTCGCAACCATAACCTCGTGGTATTCAGCAGTCAGTACTTACATAGTCACATAGTCTTCACTAACTTTGGAACTAATACAAATTTAAAGCATAGTATAAAATTAAAATTTAAAAAGTTTTCGTTTTCTCGCCGCCCCTAAAATTTTGCCGCCCGGGGCCATGGCCCCTGGGCCCCCTCCTCCTAAATACGTTGCTGCATATTATATATCAAAAATAATTTCCCGCAAAAAAAAAGGACCTGCAGACAGGGCCCTGTTTTAGAATGTGGGGGCCATGATTTTATAAGCCAAGCATCATATGACTATGATGATTGGACCCAGCTGGTTTCGGTTTCGTGATACGGTAAACAAAACAGACAATGTCTTGGTATTGTCTGTATTATTTTCCGTTCGAACCAAAGAAGGGTTTTATTATGTGTGAAAACGAAAGTTTTGAGTAATAATTACATTTATAATTACATACTGAGTATCAATTACATGTACGTAAATAAAACTCGTAACATTAAAATGTACTGAAAAAAGTAACTGTAAAATACTGTGAAAAAGTAAATGTATATAATACATCCTACCCTGATTTATATATATATATATATATATATATATATAATATATATATATATATATATATATATATATATATATATATATATATATATATATATATATATATATATATAAATATAAATATATATATATATATATATATATATATATATATATAATAATAATAATAATAATAATAATAATAATAATAATAATAGCAATAATAATAATAATAATAATTATTATTATTATAATAATAATAATTATAATAATAATAATAATAATAATAATAATAATAATAATAGCAATAATAATAATAGCAATAATAATAATAGTAACAATAATAACAACAATAATAATAATATTAAGGTATAGCTGTAACAGCTGGTGTAAACAGATGCAAAGAACAATAACAGTACATATTGCACTGTAACAGCTCAGTTTGTTTTTTGTTTATGTTTAAACAAATATTTCCTGCAAAATTCAGATTTGTCTAGTTTATTTTTGAATTTATTTATTAAAGCAGCTTATATAATTTCAGATTGTAAGTTGTTGCATGCATTTACAATTCGATTTTGGAAAATGTGATATCTGAAGGTATTTCTACAACAAGGCTTCTTTAGTTTGAAAATGTGTTGTCATAATTATGTAAATTCTTTTGATGTATTTTGATAATTATTTGTAACCAATTTATTTTATCATGGCCATGTTGAATTTTAAAATGTTGAATAAGATCTCCAAGTAATCTACTTTCTTTTATTGTGATTAATTGCATAATATTCAACCTAGCTTTGTAAGATAATTTTTTAATTGTAAGTGCTAGTTTGGTTGCTATTTTTTGGATCATCTCAATTTTGTCTAAGTCTTGTTGTAAAAATGGAGACCATGTCTGAATTGCAAACTCAAGATGTGGTTGTATGAATCTTGTATAGAGCTTTTTTACTATGTTAAGGTCTAAATATTTAAATGTTCTCTTTATGATACCTAACATTCTGTTTGCTTTGCAAAAATCCCCCCACTGAATCAACTGATTCAAACCATTATACCTAAATCATGTTCTGCGTCTGTGTTACATAATGTATAATTGTAATTGCAATCAATATCAGTCATTATAAATGTAGCATTTGGATTTTTATTCCCGATATGCATAACTTTGCATTTTTCATAATTAAGTTTTGAGAGCCAGAAATGACCATGCCATTATATTATTTATATCATTTTGAAGGCTTATTGAATCATTCGGATTTTTTATAAAGTTTATTATTTTGCTATCATCAGCGTAATGTTTGATAGTGTTTTTGACTTGATCTGGCAACTTGTTAATGTAAATTTAAAATAGAACTGGTCCTAAAAATGACCCCTGTGGTACACCACTGATAAATGGTAGCCAATCTGAGATAGTGTTGCCGAGGACCATTCTCTGTTTTCTATTAGTTAAAAAGTTTTCTATCCATCTTAGGTAATTTCTCATGATGCCATATGATTGATGTTTGATCAAACTAGAGTGTAGTACTTTATCAAAAGTCTTTTCAAAGTCTAGATATAACATATTGACTGTGTGTCCATTTTCTAGTACATCTGTTATAATATCAAAAGTTTCCAATAGGTTTGTTGTGCAACTTTTATTTTTTCTGAAACTATACTAATTTTCATTTAATAAGCTGTTTTTTTGTTAGATAATCCATAATTTTATCTCGAATGATTGATTCCAAAACTTTACATAGGATAGAGGTCAATGAGATTGGCCTGTAATTAGATGCATTGTTTGTATTACCTTTTTTAAAAATCAGGGTTATAATTGCTAATTTCCAGAGTTCAGGTAATTCTTTCTTAGGCAATAATTTTATATATATTAAATTTAATGGTTTACAGAAAGTACTATGACATTTACTTAAGACATATGGACTTATCCCATCTACTCCAACAGCTTTGTAAACATCTAATTTTTTAAATTTATTTTCAATAGTATGGTGAGTTATTAAATTGTTTATATCTACTTCTAAAATAATTTAAATCTTCTGCAGCAAGTTTGGTATGTTATGTCTTTATTAGCTTTAACTTTTTCAACTTTATTGTTAGAACTAACATATTTGGTATGTTATGTCTTTATTAGCTTTAACTCCTTTAACTTTTTTGTTAGAACTAACATAACTGTAAAATAAGTTAAGTTAAAGTAAAATAAGTTAAGTAAAATAAGTAGAATTAACATAACTGTAAAATAAGTTTCATTTCTTCCGATGCCAGGTCTTAAGGAGTATAAGTAATGTATTTATTTTTAACATAGAAAGCTACTCCTCCGCTATAACATTTAGTTGATTTAGCTTTAGATTGATTGTTGTGAAAAACATACCCATTTACATTTATGGTACTTGATAAGTTAAACCAAGTTTCGGTTACAATAAATATCAGGATATGTTTATTGTTTAGTGAAGTCGCATTTGTATATCTACAATATAGATGGTATTTGGGTTGAGATTGGATGAGATTTGCATAACAATACTTGTGATTTAACATAATTAGATTCAGACATATTGAAGAGACAGGAAATACTGCAGGTTGATACAAATAAATTGATGATTGTTACTGTTTTGGTTTTTTATCAGTTTAACAATTTTGAAATTTCATTTCAAAGTGTAGTAGTACTAATTGTTTTGATTTAGCATTATATATATATATATATATATATATATATATATATATATATATATATATATATATATATATATATATATATATATATATATATAATATAAATAATGAAAGAAAAGATTGCTACCCCAGTGGCAACAGGCTTGTGGCAGCAGGCTAAAAAATAGTCGATACATGTACTAAAGCCCTTTACTGTTTAGATGTTTGGATGATTTAAAATATTCAGAAATATGCTGCAAAATGAAGCTAAACTAAACTTAAACTACGAAATAATAAAGAAAAAATAAAACTAATGAAAAATATAAACAAATCCTTACAGAAACGAAAGTATATAAACTTCAAAATAAAATTTAAAAATCTCGAAGTGAAGATTACTTTTGGTTATGTTTTTTATTGCAGTTGAAGTAAATTACTTTGAAACATTTCATTAAAGTTACACAAAACGTTTTTACAAATTACTTCTAATGATTATTTAATAAATGAAAAAATTTAATTTAAATTATTGAAATAAAAAAAAAATAATATTTTGAAATTGTATAAGCATTTTTTCCGAAAAGTCACAAAAAAAATTTTAAAATAGTATTTAAAAATTGAAAAAAACAAAAATAATAAAGCAATTAAATTATTCCGATGCAATGGAAGATTAAATTTAATTTGTTTATAATTTAACTTAAAAAAATTAATCTTTTAAAAGATTTTTAAAAAGGCATAAAAAAATAGTTTCAGACATTTAAATTTATCATAACAAATATATGCATGCATAAAAAAAATGTAAGTATAAATTTTTTTGTTAATTTATACAAATTTTAAACAATCATTGTAATTTTGTATATTATTTAAAGTCTTCACAAAAAAATAAAAACTTTTGAAATGATCAACCATTAAAAGTTATTCATAACGCAATAATTTTTTTATTTCACTTAAATTGTTAAAACATCAAAACAGCTGTGGTCAAATTGTAAAGAAAAAAAGTTACAAGCGTAAATATATATATATATATATATATATATATATATATATATATATATATATATATATATATATATATATATATATATATATATATATATATATATATATATATATATATATGTATATATAACACTCTCTATGAACCAGCACATAATGAATATTGTAAAACCAGCAATTATCATATTTCCACATTTTATTATATTGAAATAATAAAAGAAAAGATTGCTGTCCCGTGCCAAATCCTCAGTCAATGCAGCAGCACTCTTTTGCTTTAGCAGGCTATAGGACAATCGATGTATGTACGGAAGCCAATAAATATTCCATTAATGTTTAAAAAGTCTTATAGTAATAAAAGCAGAAAAGTTAAAATTTAATTAAAGGTATTATTACTATTTTATGCCTCTAAACTGCAGATTTACCCAGTTTTCTATCTGGAACTCTTCTTTTTCCCTTCTCAAAAAAAATCTCAATGAATTCTAGCGTATTAAAAAAAAAAAAGAGCAATTGAAATAAAATGTAATTGAAACAAAATTTGATTCAATTGCATTTCATTGGTTGCAAGTATGCCAAAAATTAATCTACAAAATATCTGTCATAATTTATAAAACCATATCAACCAAATCTCCTGCATATCTGTTCAATCATCTGAAAATTCAAACCTCCTAGTTCGCTAAAACAAAATTTTCAGACAGTTGCCTACTTGCATGTCGTTGAGCAGAAACATTGCTTGGCACAAAATCTTTCTATACATCTGTACCACTGACTTGGAACAAGTATCTAAGTAAAAAAATGTTTGATTCATCATCATGCTTAAAAATGTTTAAAAAAAGACAATTGCTTCTTTATTAGTGCTTCTGAATCACTTCATCATATCTATGATTTTTGTCTAACTATTGCACTTTTATCTCTAGTTATTATTTCTATTCTTCTTCTTCTTCTTCTTCTTCTTCTTCTTCTTCTTCTTCTTCTTCTTCTTCTTCTTCTTCTTCTTCTTCTTCTTCTTCTTCTTCTTCTTCTTTTTATTATTATTATTATTATTATTATTATTATTATTATTATTATTATTGCTATTATTATTTATTTTGCTATTATTATTGTTATTATTGTTATTATTATTATTATTGTTATTATTATTATTATATATAATACAGAAAATACCAATAGGGATAATTTACATAACAATGTCTTTATTAGTTTCTTTAACAAAGGCAAGGCCTATTTTTTCAATATAAGGTCTGATCTTGTCTCTCCAATGATAAGGTAAAGTTATTTACAAAGATTTTTACCTTTATTAATCTTATAATCTAATGACTACTCTTCTTTTAATGCCAGAGAAAAAAATTCTCTCTTTATTAGACATCCAATTTGCTACTGCTTTTGTCAGGACAACATTTTCCCAACAGCCTCACTAAGGTGTCCTCTGGAACATTCAATACTCTTTAATACTTTCTAAACTATTTAACAAGTACTTAACTGTATCTTCTTTTCCTGTCTGCTAAAAAATGGCATTTGTTGTTCTAATTTGTAATAGCTCTGGATAAGTCTCAACCAGTCTCTGTCCATTATTAGTAAAGCCTTCTCTCATTTATTAGCAAAGTCTTTAAATAAGACACTCCTAATACCTCGTTTTTAGTCTAATAACTCATTCTCTGACAAACAGTATTGAGTTCGAGTCTCTTACAGCTTAATGACTGTTAAAACAGAAAGGTTCTATCATGCATGAAATCAAGGTGGCAGGACAAGGGGTATTGCTCTTGAGATATGAAAAGCTTTTGATTAAGTCTAATATGGTGGACCTATTCCATAAACTTGCTTATATGGTGTATCTAGAAAAGGTTATGCACTCTTCTTAATTTCCTGTAACTTCTGGGGTACCACAAGGTTCCATTCTTAGTTCTGTATTGTTTCTCATATATATTAATAACTTTTCTGATGATTTGACTTCTAAAGAAGTTCAATTTTTTGGCAGTGCAACTATTTACTCCAGTCTCTACACAAAGGCAATAGTTTCACTTTTTGATTGCTTAAAAAAAGCTGATTTTGAGTGTAATCTCTTTCTGTGACAGCTTGGGACTTGAAATTGCTGGTGAGTTTTAATTTAAACAAAGCCAAATTGTTCACTGCTGATAATTATTATTGATGTTCCCATATTAATGAATGGTAACACCCCTAATGAGTTACTTAATGTCTTTTCAGATTATCCCTACTGACTCTTCATGGAAATCATATATAAAATCCATTGCAAAGTTAGTATCTGCTAGATTTGCTTCTTTTTATTATGCTTGCCATTTCCTTACTACTAATTCCATTCTCTGCCTCTATAAATCTCTTATTCGTCCCTGTATGAAGTAATGTTTTCATATTTAGGTTGGTTCTTCTAATAATGCACTTTTTGTTCTAGGCAAAGTCAAAAAATGTATTTTAAGTGTAGTTGGGCCTGTTTTAGTTGTTAATCTTTTGCCTCTGTCCCATCCTTGTTTTCTCTTTTTTACTAATATTATTCTAGTTGCTGCTGAAAAAAGCTATTGTCTCTTGTTTCATCAACTAAAACTCACTCTCACTTGATTTGTCATTAAGCAAAGTTGCATCTCTTTTTAATTTATCTTTTCACTTTATGCTCTAAAAACCATTTTCATCTAGCATTTATTCTTGCACATCAGTTCTTTGGAGTTCTCTCCTGTCTTTCTCATGTTTTTATGATTGATACAGCTTACAGTTTTTTAAGTCATCTGTCAACTGTTTTCTTGCTCTTCAACTTCGAATAGTTGTTTTCAGCCTTGAAAATAGTACATGAAATAAGAATAAAAAGACAATCAGGTCAATAAATTATACCTGTTGTATACAGTAATGTAGGGAGGTTTTTCTGATGTTTCTAATATAGCACTTTCAGAAATTGTACAAAATACAAACTTAAGTATGTTCATAATAATGTCAAATAAGAACGTTTTGCAAAAAACCATGGTAATGGGTGCCTGGGAACAAAAGTGGCCCCAAAAATATGTTTTTCCTACCCAAAATGTGAGGGCATTGTGTTGATAAAATATAAATTTTGGTATATTATACTCATCTTAAATTTATTGGCAGATTTTAAATTTAATTTAAAAGTCTGTTAGTTTTTAAAAGTTATTATCATGTGAAATTTACAACCCCTTCATTTTGGGAAGGGCAAAATTTTTGCATTGATGTAACTTTTGAGCACTAAAAGTTTTAGAGCAAATTTTTTAAGGCATTTTTGTTCCCAGGGCTCTAATCAACACATTTTTTATTCAAGACTTTCTCATTTAACCACAGCATGAACATACTACAACTTATAGTTTATACAATGCCTGAAAGTGTCATATATGTAACATCAAAAAATCCTGCCTAAGCTACTGGTTGTATTCATTTAGGTTTAAAATATTTTTGCTTTAAACAGTTTTTTTGCTTCTTTAGTTTTTAAAAGAATAATTCTGCTCACAATAATGCTGCTCACAATATAAAATGCATTTATTTTTGAAAAATGGAAATCAGCAAAGATGGCTCGTTGTTAATTTAGATGATGGAAATATACCTATGATTGTTGGGTTATCAAATAAAGAAACAAGTACAATAACAATTAATTTAGAACCTGCAATATGGTTTAAAGTAATGTTATTGGAATCTGTAAGCATTGATTGTTCTACTAGAGTTGTGTCATGGACTAATGGTCAGCATCATAAAGGTATATCTTTTGCAGAAAATCAAATTACTCATCAGACTTTTGCCAATCATTTAAAATTCTTTTTTAATTTTTATTTATTGTATATTTTATTTATAAGTGTGTAATATATATTATAATTTTATATTATAATTGTATATTTTATTTATAATTATAATTCATGGCTACATAACAAAACAAAAATTTTAACAACAAAAAAATATTTCCATTAATATAAGCAAAACAAAATTTTCTTATATTAATGGAAATATTTTTGAAATATGGTTGTTTTAAAAGAAATTTACTCATTGTGGTTATTGTTGCAGAACATTGAGAAATTCATTATTCAAAGGTTTGTGAACTCTAGCAGTTTCTTGTGGCCTTCATTGATTTTAAAATGGGACAAGCTTATATTTATATTTTTTTGTTTGGGTAATTCTTTGTGAAATCAACAGGCTTATGTCACCCAATGTTTTGGATTTTGTTAAATTTTTTATATGTTTTAGGGTTTATGAAACTTGAGAAAATCTAAAATTTGGAATCTCGAACTCCTTACGGTTATTGATATATACAGGTTTTTGCAAAATACTTTTTTGTCATTAATAGCAATATTTTATCAACAAAATAAAATCATCCTGAAATTTGTTCACATGCAATCTTTCACATGGTGGATACATACAGAAAATTGAAATTTTTTTCAAACCACCTTATGTACATGTAAATTAAACAATAAAGACTTTTATAAATTTTATGTTACCTTGATAATTTTTTTTTGAGGCATTATCACAACTTACATTAAAGGTATTAAAATATCACTCTTATTAAAAAATACATTATTGTATTTTTCAACTTTTCTAAATACATTCTTATAAGTTAAGGTTAAGGTTAAGGTTATATAAATGCTGAGTCTGCATAACATTTATTGCTAACTTGTCACAAAATTAGCTATATCCTTATTTTTTGTTGTAAAAAGTTGTTTTTAAATTCTTTTTGAGTGCAATAAATGAATTTTTTTTTGTACCTGGGCTCAAGGTCTGGAGGGGGGGGGCACAGTTAGTCATCTTACTAACTCCTCCTCTCTCTCTTTTTATTTTGTTAAACAAATGAACAAAACAAATTTTGTTAAACAAATAAACAAATAAGTGAAAAGGAGAATTTTTTATGTTGCCATATTGTGTCATTTACACATACTCTCATACAGTTATATCTTAACTATATTAAAAAAAATTATATACAAATATAAAAACAATGACACAGAAATTTTTTTTATAAATCCTAATTATTTTGTTCAATTATTTTTTAAACTTCAATTTCTGAAATTTCATATACACAAGCATTTGTAGAATTCGAATCATTCGTGCATAAAAAATAGATTAGACCCAACACATATCTTCTCAAGCAGACTAAGAAAAACATACTGGAACATATGGATGCATAAATTGAATTTTATAATTACCTTCTCTTTCATCTTTTTTGGATATAATTCCAATCCATCAATAATTTTCATACTTTTAATGATGATTGAACTTCATTTATTTCTGTTTTATAAAATATATGATTTATCTTTAAAATGAATTGAATGTTTTTTATGTTGGTTACATAAAATTCAAATATTTTATCTACATCTAAAATCTGTTCAGTCACTATCCTTTTTAAACTGGCTTGTGCTGTTATTCCACTAATGCCATCACAAACAGACCTACCATGACTTGTAGCAAAAAAAAACATTCAGCATCACTATCAAAGTCTTTTTTTATGGCAAAGATTAATAAAGTTTTTATATTGTGCTGCTCATCCATTAATACTAATTTGTAGAATGTTTGCTTTAATGTAACTGGTAATGAATTGTTTTATTTTATATACAAAGTGCACATCATGCTTAATGCCATCAGAAAGGAAAAAAAAATTACTTATATATCAGTTTATCATTTGATTTATAGTATATAATAATAGAATAAAGTATACATTTGGGTTTATTTTTATTTTTATTCAGATTCACTTCCAACAAACCTGCAAACAGCCACTATTAAGTTGGAAGTTGCTCGAAAACAAAGATATTAAAGAGTTATATTGCTAAAGAGCTAGGAAATGTTTGACAGAAGATTTGAAAAGTTGTAGGTTGTATAAGTCAGGAAAACATAAAGATGGAAGAGAGTTCCAAAGAGTTAATTTGCGGAGAAAAAGGAAAGACAAATATAAGTTTTTAGAGCATGTAGGGACAAATACTAAAACACTAGAAGGATAAAACCTTGCTGAATGTTGAGTCAAGCAAGAATGAGTTTTGGTTGATGGAATTAGAGATGGTAGCTGCTTTAGGCAGCAACCATGATAGTATTTGTAGAAAAGAGAAAGAGATGCAACTTTACAAAGATGGAAGAGAGGGTCAAGCTTGGCAGATTGAGCAGGTCCAACTCACAATGTGTTTTTGGACCTTGTCTAGAAGAAGAACGTCATTAGAAGAACCATCATGAAAGAGCATCATTAGAAAAACCAGCCCAAATATGATAACAGCATTCCATACAGGGTGAATAAGAGATTTGTAGAGAATCAGGAGTTTTTATATAATAATTTAGCAGTTAGTTGTATATATGGTTTCCATGAAAGGTCAGTAGTGAACAATAATCCAAGAAGACATTAAGAAGAGAACTCATGTTGGCCTTCAAGGATGACTTTAATAAAGCAGTTAGAAATAAAAGATTTGATTATCTCAAAAACTTTTCTAGATATACCATATGAAGCAAGCTTATAAAGAAGACCAGTGTACCAAACTTTATCAAAAGCTTTAGATATATCAAGAGCAATAGCCCTTGGCTCTTTGCCTACATCTAATGCACAATAAAAATCTTTTAGTCACAGCAGTTAGCAAGTTAGCGGTAGAGCAAGAAGATCGAAAACCGTATTGATTGTATGATAGTAAGCTATTTGACTCAAGATAGGATGTTAGAAATTTATTGATCAAAGACTTGAAGACTGATTAAATGATAGTTGGAGGGGTCAGAGTGTTCACCAGAGTTTTTAAAATTGGAATCACAAATACCTTTTTCCAGCAGATGGGAAAGCAAGAATATTTAGATTAAGCAAGAGCTAAAAAGAGTTCAGGAGAACACCTATAAAACTATGACAGGAATGCTGTCTGGACAAAAACTGTAGAAGAGTTTAATTGAGAAATGACTAATCAAAAAACTGGAGTGATTTAAATGTCTAACAATGGGGTAAGCTGTTTATTTGGAATGGAAGAAAGAGTATGACTATAATATCTCAAGAGTTAAATAAAAAGAAAAATTCATTGCAAATTTTGCTTTTTAACCTTATCTTTGAGTGAGGTAATAGGATTAGTTCCATAAATGAGACATGGAATGTTAGAGGTACCTTTGTTAAAGGGATCCCAAACTCCCAACACATGTTGTGTTCATATTAAAGATAATGTTAAAAAAAAAGGTTTGAACCAAGTTTTTTTGATTAAAAATAAATAATGAATGCATAGCGAGAAAAACTAATGTTGTTGTTTTAGCCGAAGCTTGCCTTCTCCATTTTTTTGAATAACTTGGAGTCTTTAAATTATACGTCTTAAATTATACGCGATTCCTTCGAAACGCGTTTAATTCATAAAAGTTTTAGTATTTGACGTCACGGTAGACTTTTAACAAATGAAACTCTGGAAATATTTTTATTTATTTTTATTCAAACTTTTTTTGATTATTTGTGAATTTTTTTTTCTTTCTATTTTTAACATTTAAAAAGATATTAAAAACCTTAAATATTTTATGCTGGTTCGTCGCTATAAATTGTTATTGCGCCATTTATTTAATGTTTATAAATTATGAATATTTATTATCTCAATCAAGACTCTGATAAAAAATTGTTTTACATTAATTACCCTTATAAAATTAGTAAAAGTATTTTTATTTGGTTAGATAATATTTCGTCTCAATTTGCTTTGCATGAAGTTCAGGAAGTCAAGCGAAAAAAATTAGTTTGAATAATCACTTTGAAATATATTCAAAACAAATTATTTTAATGACGGGGGTTTAAAAGTTTTTAATAACAAATGTAGGTAAAAAATAAATAATTAAATAAAAAAATTCAACATTAGACATCATTTCTTTTTTATATTGCAACTGTAAATATTGAAATATTAACTTGAACTAAATTTACTTATTATTTAGAACGACTAAGCAATAAAAATAAAAAGCCTCAAAAATTATGTGATATTGTGTTGTTTATTTGATAAATGCTGTTGGTAATGTTGTTTATGTTGATTATTTTCATTAATATTAAAATAGTCCCAGATTAATCTGTTAGTTGCTTTGTTCATTGTTGCTTTATTTCTAATTTAATTTTATCTCTATGTATAAATTTATGTTAAGAAAGAAAAGTTTTTATTTCATCGCTCGCTCTTTTTATAAAAGAGTAGAACAAAAGAGAAAGAGAAGTTTCGCGTAATTAAACTTTGAATGAATAAAAGAGTTTTATAGAATATATATATATTTTTTTGCGTCACTCGTTCTTTTTTTAGGTCAGAGAAATAAAAGTTTAATAGTAACTTTTCTTTGAATAAATGAAAATGGGAAAAGAAAATTGCTTTAAAATTTGTATTTGTTGTGTTTTAAATTTTTTTTTAATTTTTTATGTTAAGAGACAAATGCCAAATACGATACAAATTGGGAAATACCAAATATAATAAGTTTTTTAACGCGCGTTATGACATTTTGACAATTTAAAATTTATCTTGAATTATTGCCATTAATTAATGTGTTAATTATTGCATTATATTAAAATAATTTGTCCGTATTTTTGTTAAATATTAGTTGTATAAAACAGACAAAAATATACAAACTTCATGTTTTTAATGATGGTTATAAAATATTGAACAGTAAACTAATAATCAAAATTTATAATGCCGACTTGTGTTCTTTCACGAATCTGCATATCTGATACTACTGTCAACTGTATTGTTTAGTGTATTCTTGTACTTTTTTTTTCATAACTTTAACAGGTTCTAATTGGTATAGAGTTGCCGACATTTTAAAAGTCGACAACAAAAATCAAATGTAAAATAAAATGATATTTCCTTTTTATCCGTATCCAATTTAACAAGTTTAGCAATTTAAAATAAATCAGCGTAATCAAAAAATTTTTATAATAAAAAAAGTTAATAATTTATCATATATCTTTAATTAATACTGTCAGTTTGTGAAATTATTTGTTAATACTTTTTTTCGATGGGAAAACAAAAAATATCATAGCGTAAAAATAACCAGAGAAATTAGAAAAAAGTTCCCATTGTTTAAATAAAAATAAGTAAGGTTCAGAATATATACTGCGCTCTCTTGCACAAAAACGAGAGATCGTTTACATAACGTTCTATATAATGTAAAACACTCGTATGAAAATCATAAGATTCGTAAGTAAAGCTTTAATATTTGTTTTAATTTGAAAACAAAAGAAATATAAGTAAGATATATAAATCTAAAAATTATTAAGATATCGGTAAAAAAAAGTTCCTCTTATGAAATAAAAAGCTTTTATTATTTTTGATTTTTACAAAAATTTGTTGTAAAAGTTGTTTTTGCTGTATGTTAAAATTTTTTTTTTTGAATTAAAATAGAAATGCAGCTTTGTTTAATTACACTTTTCTTTTGTTAAAAATCTAACGTGACGTCAAATGCTAAAATTTTTATGAATTAAACGGGCTTCGAAGGAATTGCAAGAAGTCTGTAGATTGCGACGTATAATTTAAAGACTCCAAGTTATTCAAAAAAATGGAGAAGGCGAGCTTTGGCTAAAACAACAACATTAGTTTTTCTCGGTATGCATTCATTATTTATTTTTAATTAAAAAAACTTGGTTCAAACCTTTTTTTTTAACATTATCTTTAACATGAACACAACATGTGTTGGGAGTTTGGGATCCCTTTAAAGACGCTGTTGAAGATTTTCCAAAGGTTTCTAGAGCCTAACTTCTAAGATACAAGATTTAGTGAACTGGTAATAATGGAGCTTAGCATCAGACAGCAGCTATTTACATTGATTTCTTGCAGTAATAAAAAAGTGTTGTTTTCAAGAAAGTTGTTCCTGTGAAAAAGATGAAAATAATGATTACGATAAGATATAGTAGCTGCACAAGATAGTGGAAACCTTGGAGTAGAACAGTCTTTCACAGGAAGACGTGCAATCTCACGTCTTTATATGATCACGCAAAAAGTAGTTGGTTCTGACAATTTGGCTATGGCTTTTGACATATTTTCAAAATTTAAAAATGTACTCTAAAAACTTACCTAAAAAAATACTTTGAAAAAGAAAAAAAATCTTAACGAAAGAGAAAAAAAAAAAAAAAAAAAAAATTAACTAAAGCAAAAACACACACAGAAATAGAAAAACACACACAGATGAAGAAATTTGTTTCGCGCCCGTAAAACTCAAATATTTTTTTAGCGAACGCAATTATGCGCGCTCGTCATTAAATTATCGAGAGCATCTTTTATTTTTGGATATGGGTGTTCCTCATAATTTTATTAAGTTTTAATTTGTTATACAGCTTTCTTTAGACAATAAATATTTTAAAATTATTATTTAGCAGTGTACTGCCTGAAAAAACATTGAAAGTTCTTTCGACTTACTAAATACTTATTATTTGATTGCATCTGATTGTGTTTTTTTCCCACCTAGTTCTTAATGATCTTGTTTTAAAGAATAAATTTATCTTTTATGTATTTTCTTTGTCTTTATTGTATTGTCTTCATCTTTAACTTATTACTACAGCCATTTTTTTTTTATTATTACATCAAATTTATTTAAAAGTAGTTCATAAGTTTTCATTTTTTTCATTGTTTCATTTGTTTAATTCAAATATAAGTTCATAGTATTTTCGCATCATTAAAACATTAAAACAATTAAATAATGATTTCTTTTTCTAAAAATATATTTAATGTTTTTTCGTTGCTAACGCTAAAAAAACTTTTATAACTTTTTTAGCAAATATTTTCACAAACTTAAACTTTTCTTTTTCTCAAATGAATTTATAACTTTAATTAAGTTATAAATAATATAAATTATAATTTTACTACCAAAAACTTTTTAAATTTAGTTAAATTTTGGTCGTAAATACTTTATTTAAATAAGAACTTATAAAATTCTATAAAGATTTGTTAAAATTTTTTTCTATCAACATTGGGCTATTAACTTAAAGAACAATTAAAAAGTTTTAGTATTTTTGGGTTTAATTTAATATTTTTTTCAAAATTAAGTAAAAAACTTTTATTATTTACATATGGCTTTAAGCAAATGCTTTTACAAAATTAAATTAACAATGTTTCTCATAATTAATTTGTATTTATTATACAAATTAATAATATTAATAAACTTATATTAATAAATAAAATTTTATTTAATTTTGTTAAATG